GTTCTCCAATCGGACTGCTTAAAGCCTACCCCAACCCTATTGTTGCCTGCTTGAAAGCTCCATTGATTATAGAATCCATGTCTTGTTGTCAGTGATAATTCCCTCATCCTACTCCTTCGTCACAGAGAAATCAGCCAAGAAATCTACTATCACTTGATCTTTGATTATCTCTAACGAATGTAAGTGATTTTGAATTCACTGAGCACTACCACCCACTTTAGCAGTCACCAAGAGTGTTCCAATTGTGTGGGCACATATTTCAGTAGATGTTCTGTGATGACTCGGATTGGTTACATCTGAAAATACAGTCAGAGGATGTGAGCCGAAATAATCAAGGTAAAGGTCATTTTTCCATAATCGGGTTCCTGGTTTTGGCACCAAGAAGCTCTCAGCTCATGTAGTAAACCGGATATTGTTTTCTCACCTCCTCTCAGACCAGAGCTGAGATTACAACCTCACGTCGGACTTCGAGGTAAAGTAACTCCCCTTTCTCCTACTTCAAGCTCTGAAGCAGTGGTGGTGACACTAAGGAATGTTTCAGTTCTTGAACGCCTCTTCACATTCGGGCTTTCATTTGAAATATTGATTTTTCTTTAGAGCCTTGAAGAACGTTGCACACTTATCGCCCAACATTGGGATGAAGTGACTAAGCCCGACAATCTTACCAGTTAACCTCTGAAATTCTATGGTATTCTGGAGAGATGCATGTCTAAAATTGCCTATACTTTCTCCAAATTGGCTTTCAATCCTTCGGAAGTCAATAGAAAGACAAGATACTTGTTAATTGACGCTCGAAAGGTGTACTTGGAGATATTCTTCGGCAAGTATGTGCTCATTCACCATCTCCAATACCTCTGCAAAGTAGTAGGTCTTAATAGGTTTAGGTCATACCTAAACCGCTTGTTTCAGACTCCTCGCTTCAAAGCTGTTCCTGTTATATCAGGCTTCATGGCTCTAACTCCCAGCATCTTGTTTTGAAAGTGGGCGATGTAGGCCCGCAAGCTTTCATTTTCTTCTTGCTTGAGGTTGAGCAGGGTGTCTGAGTCTTTCCTCAGCTTCTGCACAATTTAAAAGTGTGAAATGAAGAGTCATTTAAACTCATAAAACTTGGAATGGTTTCAGTTGACTGATCATTGAACGATCGAAGGGCTGACTCCTTCAGGTTAGTTAAGAAGAGATGCACATTATGAGATCGTTGATATGGAGTAAACCAGTTGATGATTTAAACGACACAACATGGTCCATCAAGTAAGTCCTCCCTTTGTAAGAATCCATGTGAGGGATCCTTAGCTTAGGCAACGACATTGCTTCTTTGATTTGGTGAGTAAAAGTCCCTCCTATGAGCAGACAAATTGGTACTCTTATCTTCTCTTTCCACTGTTTGTTTGCCTTTACACATGTAGTGGTGTCAATGTGTTGGGACTCACATTGTGCCTCCGTCCACTGGTCGCTGACCTTGTTGTCCTGAGTAGGTGGGTCCCTCAGTCTTTGGTATGAGCACCTGAGGTTCCACTTCAAGACGATGCGTCTGGATGTTCCTCTGCAAGGTTGCTACATGGAGGACCTTGAATTGTTCCATCATGAGGGTCATTTGGGCTTATAGGCCGTGGGCAGGTGCGTGGACATCTGGTTGTGCAGCATCTCTATTGGGTTTCATGTGCAGTATCTCTCTTTGGGAAATTTCTCCTTCATAGTCTTTTTCGTTTCTTATTTATGGCATGCTCCACGCTCACCGCATCACCTTTAAGAATGTTAGATCCCAATTTGTCCTTTTGCGAGCATGCCTCAAGAGTCATAATTGAAAGAGGCAAGAGAGAGAGAGAGAGAGGGTAAGAGTGCACGAAAATTTCCTCCTTGAAAAGAGAGGAAAGTGTTGTCCTTTATTTCTCTTGAGCCCACCTATTTAAAGGGGCATAATTAGTATAATTAAGAAATGGGAACCGTTACGATAACCGCCCTTAATAGAATCAATGTGTATAATATGAATTAATGACATCATAATGTTTAAAATAAACAACGATTTACAATGACTTATATGTTTAAGTAAATACTGTCAGTCGGTGGGTGACCTATTATGTTGGTCAGTAGACTGAAATCCGCCTATGTCGAGAGGGAGTAATCAGCTAGCCTAGATATTGTCGATCGTCTTCATAAGAGGCCTAGTCGATTGATTCTGCGAGATATGTGGCTTCGGTCGGTTGGTCGGTCGATTGATGGGTTAACCTGTTTTGTCGGGTGAGCTATGACTCACTTACTATTTGGCTCAAGTCTTACAGGATTCATGTCTCATCTGCCTGATCAGTTCATCTTCTTTGTTGGATCATTCGTCTCACAAGGTCATGAGCAGATCTTGTTGCTACTTATGCAGAGTTTCCGACAAGACTCACTGTCGAGATAATTTGTGTCATACTTTTGGCGGATCTTGCCACTATCAAGTAGGGAACAATCTACGGAGTTTTGTCATATATCAGGCTTAGAGACGTGGCTTCTCATGCTTGGCATTGGATTGTCGGTCTCGTTGGGATTCATGTCAGTAGTTATGATGTATACAGTAGTCCATCCCATGCGAAAACAAGTTTTTCCTACCATTGAAGCTGACCATCATTGATATGTTTTGTTTATTCTCTTCACAAGTGCACAACAGGATATGGAGCCCGTCGGCTCTCATTTTTGGCTCTCATTAATGAAGATCATGGTTTATACAATAGTATCCATTATATGCTCGAACTACAAAATAATTTGCTCTAAGGATCACTAA